AATAGAATGAGTGTGGAAGAGATAAGGGATTTCATTGGGTCGGATTCGCTGGCCTTTTTGCCCTTTGATAGCTTGAAGAAGTTGCTGGGAAGTGATAGTCCTAATTTCTGCTATGCTTGTTTCTCTGGGAATTACCCTGTGGAGCCTACAGAGCTAAAGGTGAAGAGGGTTGGGGACTTCGTGGATGATGGCTTGAATGGGAGCTTGGAGTCCATTGGTGGTGGTTGGGTTCAAGCCAACCGAAACCAAATCAAGGTTGGTAGTTAGTGGTCCTAGTGTTTCTCAATTATCTCCTCTTTCTGGTTTTGTTGCCGTGTTAAACCTAATGCTACTTATGTGATGTGGTGAGGGCTAATGTCACTCAGACCATTCAATTCAACCATACTGCTCATCATCGCTAGTTCATTTGGATTCTCAAGGCCGATTATACATTTCTCATCTGATATATGGAGCTGCTTTTGTTATTTAGAATTTAGAACAAACCATGGTATAAGAACTTTTTATGCTTTTCATTACTTTACTTTTCTCTTTTTTCTCAATATAGGGTCTTCTTCAAATACACCTTGGATTTTCTTGGATGGTAGTTTTCCATCTCTTTTATTTGTATATATATACATATATATTTGTTTGTTTGTGTCTGTGAAACAGAGGAGTAAACATTTTTGAATAATCACAACTTTCTGTTTACTTGGTAACTTGAAAATGTTTTATCTGTAAAGTGGCAGAAATGTTTTATCTGTAAACAACAATAAAACGAAAAGCCAAGTTTTCATCATGTAAATGTACAATCTCATTTTCCTACAGAGGCTTGGTGTGATGGAGTTTCTAGATTGCAGCAAATTCCAGGCAACATAATCTTTTCGTTTTTTAGAAGTATAAAAAATGAGAATATTGATTGTTAATTCTAACCTCCATCATAATCACAATTTTGTTTATTTCAATTAATTTAAAATTTAAAGATATTTCCTCAGAAATAAGTAAAGTTTATCAAACATATTTTTAATACACCTTCTGGCGACAGCAAAACAGTCTTTGCACACCTTACACTTAATAAGTGTTTTAACCCCAAACTTCTTCCTTCTTTTATTTGATTTTTTCATTTTTCATCGTATTTTGACAACCCAATAATCAATAACATCCAATAATATTAATATAATAATAATTATAATTATTTAATGAATATAATGAGTTTAAGGGAAGATATTTGGGTTGGTAATTTAATAATTTTCTTTTTCAAAATCAAAATGTTATATGGTTTTTATGTAACTTAAATAAGCAAGAATATCTCATTAGTTAAAGAACTCTATATATGATATAAAATATTACGTGTTTAAAAGTTATTATGTATTATTATTTTGTTTTTAAAAATTATCATTTATTATTATTTTGTTTTTAAAAGTTATCATTTATTATTATTTTGTTTTTAAAAAACGCTGGTGAATTAATAGATATATGTGTAAATTATTTGGTCTTTCTTTCTAAACGCTTTGAAATTCTTCACCATCATGAGGATATGAAACATATCAAATCAAGTTGTTAACTTGATAATGATAATTATAGACTTATTATCCCAAAAATAATGATTATTCAATTTTTGATATTTTAAAATAACTACCAGGTTTTATTCCTTTTAAATGTAACAAAAATAATTAGGCAAAAAAAAATACTAAATTCTTCTTTTATAACTAATGTTCATAATATTAATTATAAGAAAGATGGAAGATGAAAAATATTTTATGATCATCAAAGAAATATTTTATAAAACTATAAGATATTTATTTTTAATTTGTCATCTCGTGGTATAATAACAATCTAGTATTGACAGGGGAAATTTTGAATGAATCAAACGTTAAGTGTATGGAAGCGAGCAAGAAATATTTGTTGTTCAATAAATTGTAAAACTTAGAACAAGTCAAAATAACAATGAGAGCATCTAAATTTTTTATCTCAAGTTATATTAAAATCACATATCAATGTATGAATTGTCTTATTGATATATCTAAATATTCCACATAATCAGAATACCACTCTTCATATGTACTTCACCAAATACATCATAAAAAATAATTAGTTTTGAATTTTCCTTACCTAACATCTTATATTATCTTCATACTCGTTAAATTATCCTTTTTGTATTTGTTGATTTAACTATACATGCTTATTTTTACAATTTAAATAAATAATAATAATATTATTATTATTATTATTATTATATTTTTATTAATGACAATGAGAAGATGAATTTACGATGTTTTTTTAAGTTGACATTTATCAATGTTAGCGTTCAAAACAGTGATATCGATTATATACACAAAAAATTACGTGATATAAAGCATCCTATTTAATTATATTTAAAATACTCAATATTCATAATAATTATTATAAACATTCACCATGATATTCAGATTTAATTATCGATTTAGATAATTAAAGGATAAATATCATCAAAGAATAATTATAATTACACAAAACAAATATAATAAAGAAAATATTAACCAAAAAACATTATTAAGATGAAACTTCATCAAACTTGATCCGTAATCCTTCTTAGTAGTATATGTGATTTATCTCTTTTCTTGTAGAGTTGAAATTTGACTAATATCACTAATCATCCATCTCTTAATGATTAAATTTTAAACTTCTTTAAGAATCATTGCTCCATCAATAATCATCAACGATAACGAACTTAAAAAAATATATATAACAGTTTTTTTAATAAATAAATCATAATATATATAACAGTTTTTTTAATAAATAAATCATGGATCATTGATCCGTGATGTATTTATTTACATGTCAACATAGTTTTTTTAATAAATAAATGTTGTCATTTTTATCAACTGTTATATGATATTGACCCCGTACAAAGATTTAAAATAATCTATATAGTGACATATTATTATAATATGTAAGTTATATTAATATAAATATGAGATAGCCATTAGAGTTAAACGAATTAAATATGATAAACTCAAGGTTTTTCAACATTAATTAACTCTTAAAAAAACAAATTAAATCAACACTAAAATTATTAAATTTCAGTCTAAATTAATAAGATTCATAAAATAACTATTTGTAAATAATGAAGAAAGGATTAAAAGGGTAATATTACCTTCTAGACTCACGATTTTTTTCTTATCTTTTTTAACGGATGCATTGACCTGATGAATGCCCAGTAATTTATTTATTTTGTCATTTTCATAAATAATTTTTAAATTACTCTAAATTTTAGTATAAACAATTAGTTTGGTCTTGGAAAGTATATTTTATTATATTATTTATTTATGGTTTTCAAAAATAATTTTTATTTATTTAGTTTTTAAAAATTAAAAGACTTGTTTTTGTTAACATAATTTTAATTTTAAAAATTAAAAATGATTAAATTATTTTTTTAGTATCAATAATTATATCTAGTCATTATTTTTATTATCATATAATTATCAATTTTTTTTTCACAATTTTCCGTTGTTATATATATTTTAGAGTTTAATGTTTATGATTTATCTATATTATTCTTTTTCGTTAAAAATATATTTTAAAGAAAATTAGAACAATTTTTTTATTTTTTTAAATAATTTTAATTTTCTTCTAAAGCTATTTAAAAAAAACTCTTCAATATATTAAAGTGTTAAAAAAATCCAGACTTTAGCCTATTTTCATTAAAGTTGTTGTTTGTGTCAATAAGTGACTTATTATTAATTTAGTTTTAAATTGAATAATAATAATAATAATAATAATAATAATAATAATAATAATAATAATAATAATAATAATAATAATAATAATAATAAGTAGTAGTAAACTTAATGTTATATTTTCTTTTTCATAAATATTCAATTTTCTCTTTTTCTTTAAATTTTTGTCTAGTTTATTAAATTTTGTCTTTCATTTTCATGATCGAGTTTGTAATTTTTTTAAATGGTTAAATACGTTTTTTCAGAATAAAAATACAAAAGAATATATATATATATATAATTTTTTTTCTTGTTGGGAAAATAAAGGACATCAAATTAACGTCGTTAGAGTGAAAATGTGAGTTTATGATTTAAATGTTTAAACTGGATTAATAAAATAATTTTTCATAATATAATAGTATAATAAATTTATTAATAATCATATTTTATTAAAAAAATTAAAAATAATTATAATATAACAAATATTGTTGCAACAGTTCTCATAAATTATAATAAATATTATAAATATAAAATATAATAAATAATAAAAAATTAAAAATAAGATGAAAAATAAAAAATATAACTAATATTTAAAGTTATATGAGTGATTTTTAAAAAATATTTTTATATTTTAAATAATTATTAAAAAAAATAATTTTTAATTTTTTTTATTAAAATTGTTTTGACCAAAATTTTTAGTTGTTTTCTGAAATTTACAGAATTTGACCAAAATTGTTTTCTGAATTTTACCGAATTTATATAAAATTTACTGAATTTTATATTAATTTAATTAAAATTTAGTTATTAAAAATAATAAATTTTAAAATTTATTTTCTATCGGACTTGTTAAACCAATCCATGTGATTTGATTTTCATATTTCATTGTTGAACTCGTAGGATACATATTATTAAAATAATAAATTAAACTTTGTTAGTAGATTAAATTCTTCATGTGTTATCCCGTATAATTTATACTTAAATATTGTAGCTATTACATTTTTGTTTTATTTTGGAATGAACTAATATTTAAAGCTGTATATATCAAATGAAATTATTTTAATTCAGATAAGAATATATATTTTAAATATTATGCAATATTCTTAAATATGAAAACTGAAAATTTGACATGAATGGTAGTTGGAGATAGACTGAGAAATTGGAGAACTGTGACGTGGCACGTAGCCCTAGTTCATCACGTTGGGTATCCACAAGCCCCAAAAACCACCATCACGCCACTCACTGCATCTCACTAGTCGCTTTCTCTTCTTCTCTCGAATCATTATTCATTTGATCGCCACGTTCATCACCACACCACTCCACCCCACCATGTCTTGCCTCCTCCGATCTACGAAGTCTAAGATCCTCTCTTCTTACTCTTCACTTTCTAGAAGCTTCCCTTCCCTCTCCCGCGCCGGTCCCTCCCATGACCTCCTTCACAATCAGATCGGAGCTCTCTCTCCCCTCCCCAATCTCTTCCACCGCAACACCGCCTCCATTCCTCTCGGTAACGCCACCTCTCCCTTCGCTCTCACTTTCTTCTTTCCATTTCCGTTTTTCAATGCTTTTTATTTTCGTCGATCCCTTCAGATTCTCTTTTATTTTCCCTCCGATGACCAAACACATCGAATAAACGGAAACAAACAGGTTATTGTTAACGCGAAAGAGATAATAAGAGGTTATCGGTAATTCATTTGTTTGTTTCAACTGAAGATTTTATTAATTCCTGTTTCGTTGATTGTGATAATCGCTTGTTTTCTGTTGCTCTACGAGCTTAACTTGTTTGTACACACTGATGCTGAGTTTATTTTTCTGGTTCTGATTGTTTCATTCGGTTGATGCTATGTTTCAGCGAAGGAAAACGCTTCTAGCGGAGACTTGACTGGTCTTCCCAAAGTTCCTGCGAATAAGCTTGGCTGTGATTCGAATGCGATCAATTCGGTGGTATGCGTCTTTCCCGTCACTGTTAATGAGATTTCAAATTTTAACCACACTTGGTGGGGTGAAATTTGTTTTATGTTACATTTGTATACCTTGTTTTTTCTCCCTCTGGAGTCGGAGAAGTCGTCGTTGCTGCTGCAACTTTGGGTTATTTAGTTTAATCTGATTAAATATAATCATTTTTCTCCCATTCTACTTTGTTCTGAAGTTGATACAAGACAAGTGGGTTCTGGTTGTCCAATAATATTATGCTAGAGTTAGAAAAAGCTAGCTGTTGTTTAGTTGTCAACTAGTCCTGGTTACTAATGAAACTTCTGAGGCTTGGCAAATTTTGAAATATGGTGAGAGTTGTTAACGTCATGACTTGTTTCTTAAGTCTGAAAACTGCACTAATTCAAACTTGTTATGCATGAAATTTGATTGGGACAATGATAAAAATGAATTTGGAAATTTGAATTTGTAAGAGAGAGACAGTAAGGGAGACAGGTAATTGTGATTTAAATTGATGGTAGAAATTAACTTCATGTCAGTATATTTTGATGTAGTCTTTACAATGATATTAGAACTTGTTCTTCAAAATTTTAGTGATAACCAAACCTTCAATTTCAAATTAATTTACATCATGCTATTTGTTGGTGTTTTGGTTGCCTTGGACATCTTTTTCTTATATGTTATGCTCATTACATTATGTGTGGTTCCGAGTAATAAATGCTTATGGTTTGTTGATATTGAGTAGTTTATCATGTGCAATTGCGGTGGGCATTAGGTCACAACAATGACCTCTACAATTTCAATTTTTTGGGTTTTCTGTTTGTGATCATCGCAGTTACTATCTTGCCTGAAATATTGTTCAAAATTCCATGGCATTATAGTGGATGCAACTTGTAAATGGGACGAAAAACTCCTCTTGTGATACAATTTTGAAGAGAATTGGAATGAAATTGGAAATTTAAGAGTTGAGGGATTGGAATTAGCAAAAAAGGAAAAAAAAAAGGAAATTGAAAACAGAAACTTTGGAAATGGGAGACACCACAACCAAGGTTTGATAAGATTAAGAATGATTGTCACAAGAATCGGTGAATTCTTAATAAAATCAAAAAATACCCCTTTTTGAATTTCAAGATTTTAAAATACAGATTTAATTTTAAGGTTTGAACTTTTTGAATTTCAAGATCTTAAAATACAGATTTAATTTTAAGGTTTGAATGAAAGAAAAGAATATCATTATATTACAAGCAAAGCTAAGTTTCCCCCGTGGTTAAATGAACATATTCTAAACTTGTGGTTCTAAGTTCAAATCCTAACTCCAAACGATGTATTAAAATGTCTTTTGGCAAATTTTTCTTCAAAATAGTTCTTTGTAAGTTACCCAAAGTTCTATTCATTATCTCTGTCCTTCATAACTGTGTCATTCAAGTGTTTGGCTGGTGGCCATATCACCATCCCACCATCCCACCTCCCCACTAACTGAATCAATAGATCCCAATTGTCTGGTTTATTGCTAACCATGTCTGTAGCAATGTGTTGGTCTCTGTGACACTCTATTCTATATCCAAAATTGTCACTATTGTGATTTCACATGTCTTTCACATTGTTTTTAGTTCTTATGTTGTATTCTACCTTTTTAACTAATATTATGTCTTAAATTGAGTATTGAATTATTTGAGCATTTTTATCCATACAATATGATTATATTTATGTCTACTATTTATAATTTTGCTGTAGCAGTTTCCCGTGATTCGCTATCCCAGTATAATGTTTTTGGCAGTAGTTGCTGCTATATGGATTGATAACTATGATTGATGCTGTCATTGCAAAATAATCCTTTGCTAAATCACGTACATGATACTTACTAGGTTGTGAGTTATTTTTCTGTTGATTTTGTGGAAAAATGTTTTTTTGTTCCATTGGTGTTTGTATTCAGATTACATTTTTTTCAATAAATAGAATGCTGTATTTTTGTGGAAATGAAGAGCTAGAAAAGGAAGGAGAATTTTTCTCCCCTCAACAGGTCTAGACTGTCTAAATTTAAGTGTTCTATAATTTGAATTTAAATGACTGAAACTGATGTGATATAATTTACATGATATTTCCGCATCTTTGCTTCTATGTATGTATCAACTATCATGTTCTTCTTATTTGGATTGATTACAGTGACTTGTTCTTGCTAGCATTGCAAAACTAGGTGCTTTGCTTAGGACAAATGGATCTGAAAACTGTTTGTTATCTTTAGGTTAAGTGGTACTAGATCCTCTTCCGTTGAGGAAAACGGAAATGTACTTGCGAATGTAAATCCAGAGTCCAATTTGCCCTTTGTTTTTTTTTTCCTCTCTAAAAAAAATAATAATTGAACTGCTCTCTAAGAATGCGATTCAAATCATTAATTTAGCTGTGTTTAGTTCCAATTCCTGTGGAATTATTCTTGAATGTCAGATGTATAAAGCTTCTGGACTTGACACCACTATGCGGGCTGGTGCTGGATATGGCACTAGAGTTTGCACTGCACAGAGTCCAATGCTATTGGTAAGTTCCTTTATTGTAAGTTATCCATGATTGAGTTTAATGTATTTGGCTTTTGTTATTTGGCTGATGACATTTTCATTCATAAGGGAGTCAATACCGTGATGGCAAGAAGTTTTGAGAGAAGTATGGAAGCTGGCACGTTGGGAATGCTTGGTCATAAACGTTGTATGAGTGTTCTCCCAAGTAAAACCAGTGAGACCAGCCCATCTGGTTTTCGCCCGTTATCTCCTCATCTCCCTCTTTATCAGCCCCAACTCTCTTCAACTCTCTCAATTTTTAATAGAATTGCTGGAGCTTTCTTAGCCGGTGTCATTGTCCTTTTTTATATGATATATTTGAAAATGGGTTTGGTTAGCCTCACTTATGACTCATTCTACCAGTTCATATTTTATTCATCAAAACTCAACCTACTTGTCATGGAGCTTTCTGCCTTAGCCGTGACCTACCATCTGTATAGTTTCATTCGTCATTTACGCTTATGATTTGAGTCAACAATGGACGCCTGAACTGTAAGTTTGTGCCTGAGGTAATATGTTCTTCCTTGATTCATGTGCAGTTTTTTGTGGTTGTAATTATGAGGGTTTGAGTCATATTTAGCTTTTCTCAAAATATACTTGGAGATTCTTTTTCTTACCATGGGTTATATAATATGTCGTATTTTCAGGTGGAACTTTGCTTAATTTGACCTTGGAGGCATACTTCCATATGTCCGTCAAAGGAACTTTAAGAAATGTGAATTCGCCTTTTTGTAGTTATTTATTATTAATAATTACAATTCTGGCACAAGTGGGCGTAGTGCTGATCATAACTGCATTTACTTCGCACCTTACATTCGGTCATGCTTTTTAGCAGTAATCTCAAATTGCATGTGAGTAACTATTGCATTTAATAAATGCATTTGAGTTTTGGTGACTTCAAATACATGATTTCTTACACGAAAAAAAGGTTTAGCTGAAATCATTCTTGCTATAATTAACTGAGATGACAGGTTTTCAACAACCCAAGAGTTGTTTGGCAGATAAATCAGCGAAAATTCTATAATGAATTACGTCTTGAGTTGCCCAGACATAAAATTGGTTTATGCATTGGTATTGTGTTTATGAAATAATTCTTTACCATGAAGTTGATTTGAATATGTATTTTATATAATTCACGGGCTGTTATTATGTATAATTAAAAATCATTAACATTGTGGCTTTTACTTATTAAAGTAAATTCTAATTAACTTGACAATATAAATTCTAATATACAGGCCTATTTTATTTTCTCAAAACTTCAAGGGCAATTGTTATATATATACCACCCTTTTGTAAAAATGTACTTTAACCATTTCCAGAAATATGTTTTAAGTAGTTGTGTCTCAAAATACTGTAATACTTCCATACATAGTTAAACGGGATGAATAATTAAAGTGGGATGTGCTGTAATGTAAATAATAAAAAAAAATGAAGGTTATTTTAACAATTTTTTTTTCGTTTTATTCTTATTTTTTATTTTTTATTTTTTATTTGAACTTTGTTTTTCGTCTGTCAATTGTTCAACTTATCTCGTGCAATGTAGTGATGCCAATGTATTATTAATAAAGTGTCAATTATACTCGTACATATATACAGGAGTACACTAGTGTCATATTCTATTCTTTTATTAGTGATATCAATGAAATAGACAATATTAATTATTTTAAAGAAAAAAATCTAATTGATATTAAAAATAATAAGAAAAACTTGAAAAAAATAAAGACAAAATTAACTGTATAGCAAAAAAATAAAAATAAAAAAAATGGGTGAAAGGGTCTGAATTTGCATCATTTACTTTTAACATGCATTAGAAATTGGTAACACATAGCTTAAGTCACCAAGATAAACAGTAAACAAAATGTATCCTATTATTACTTTAGAACAACTTCAATCATTAATTTCTCAATTGATGGTATAATTTTGCACATTTGACAATATTCAAGAAACTAGCGTTGCATCTAAGTGGAGCCTAGATCAATAGATTTGAGTCACGAAAGCCAATAAATTATAGTCGAAAAGTCATGGTACTGCAAACAGAGAATACAGAAAGCAGGATTGGGATGTTTCAGGTGTTCAAAGAGTGATTAACAGTTTAAGTTTGTTTGATCAATAACAACTTACCGAATCCAAATTTCATGCCCTTCTCATATTAATTTTGTTGAAAGTAACCTAAGGAGGGATGCATATTTTTATTATTTTTTTTACCTTTTTTTTTAATCAGCTATTTTTACATTTAAGATTTACATATATATACAACATATATTACTGAATATTTCAATTTAAAAAAATTAAAAAATAAAGAAGAATATATAATAATAATAATAATGTGTTCGACAAGTCAAATTTCATCCCTTAATTTAAAAATAATCAATATTTGAGATTAATTAATTATTATAAAATATTTCATTAACTTCTAAGAAATGACGTGGAATAGATGTTATTATTTGAAGAATTCTTAATTGATGTGAATTGCCAACTTCATTTGATTTGGGTAAATGGTCCCTGCAATACAAGTAGTAACAAATCAACCAACATCTTAATAATTCACGTTACAGAAACATCATCTGTCCTTTCTTTCACTCTAATTATCGTTTCATAATAATAGTACTATCAGACATGCATACGTTACCCATAAATTGCTGCAGCAATTAATGTAAATTCTTATTACTTTTATTCTTCTTAACCACCTCCTCAGCTGCCATCAACATTTGGGCCAGTGAGTGTTTAATCAATAATTTTATTTTTTCAGCGTACTCTGGTGACTATTTAAAAATAAGTTATTTATAAATAAAAATATTACTTTTATGAACTCTAATTAAGTAACATCATCATTTAATCTAAAAATAAATATACTCAAGTTAACTTATTTACATTTATTTTCAAAGCATGCTCATTTATTTTCTCTATACATCGGGAAATAAAAAAGCATAAAAAAAAATGCTAATGGTATGATCCCGGCTGCTGTCACCCCAGAACGAAAGAGACGATATTGTAGTTTTTGGTACGTGAAAATACGTTGTTGTTAAGTGCTTCATTTTTTTTTTTTTTATTGAGGCCAAACCTAAACCTGTATTCGAGAGATAACTGTCCATATATTAATAAGGGATGTATGAATTTTCGAGAAGAGAGGAGCTGGAGTGGTTCCTCGGATCGCCCGAATTTCACGAGTGAGGAGAAAACTAAATAAAAGAAAGAGAACTTAAAATTTAAAGATTTTTCTTTTTGTACTAAAAATCAAAATTTAAATTAAAAATAACTTTTTTGAGGTGGAAAACTTTATATTGATAAATTTCAAACCAAACAATTCAAAAGAAAAAATTTAGAGTATAATTCATATATCTGAATTAATATGTATTTGATTAGGAATATATTTTATTTTGTAACAGTAATAATAATAATAATAACAATAATTTATTTTAATGGTTCTTGTTGAGTAAATTTAATTACTTATTATCAAATTATTAATGACTTTCAAATAGTTAGTCGTGAAAACTTTACATTCAAATGTTATATTGTTAATATGAAAAAATATACCATGATGATCTCAAATTTACTATTAATATGAGCAAAATATTGTTAAATAAATAGAGAACTTAGTATGATAAACCCGTTTTTAGAATTTATATATTTAAAACAAAAAATTATAATATTCATAGATGTGTTTGATAAGAAACTTTTCATTAACAGCAGAAAGTTGTAGAATATAATAGTTCATATTTCTTAATGCCCATCCCAACAAAATTACTCTTTTCATGAATAAACCCACCAAAATTCATAGCTTACAAACTAGATTTCTATTCTCAAGTAACATTGAAACTACATATGATTGATGTGAGTTCAATATATCAAATAAAACAAAAAGTATATCATTGTTTACAGAGTGAGATTTTTCTAACAAAAACACTACTTTAAGTTCATGAAGCAATCCTCTGGAATACTGTCTAAAGATGGCTTCCAAGAATTCATTCCCTCATCATCATACTCACCACCAACTTCTGAAATCCTTCCTCCTCTCAACTTCACAGCATGCAACAATTGCTCCAATGAAGTCTGCTGCTGAGCTTCATCCTTGCACCTCAGAATCCTTTTCAACTCTTCCTGAGTCATCACCACCCTAATCCTCACACTCCCACTTCTACAATAATTACCATCACACCCTCTTTCTCCTTCACAAGTACCACCATTTTGCACCATGAACTTCACCTTCTTCTTCATGCTTTGTTCCAACCTTGGTAGTTCCAACTTGGACAACATCGGAAGTGCCTTTACCTTCTGAACCTTTGCTTCCGCCACTGGGGCATCATAGTTCTCATGATCCTGTGCTGAAATCTTGTTGTTCCTCAAACAGTTTCCCATGTTAAGGACCACAAAAATAGTTAAACAAGAACATGAGATGGGAGATAGGGTATGAAAAGTGAGGTATAAATAGAGAGTGTGAAGAAGAGAAAGCACATGGGGAATCCGTTTGTTGCGCCGGGTGACGGAGATAAAGAAAAGTAGAGATTCTCTTGCTTCTTATCATTCATCATCACCATCACCATCAATTATGTGTGCATGGTTTTTCCTCTGTTTCATACTATAGATATCAATATTTTACTCGTGGAGACGCGTTTGTTACCTCAATTAAGCATAACTCATGTGCGGAATAAAAATAAATTGGATTCATTTGAGTTACATATTTTATTGGGTAGTTAAACATTATAAATATATATATATATATATATATATATATTAAATCATTGATATATTTTTTGAAAAATCATGTTATTTATGTACGATATTGAGTGAATATGTTAATTTGACTAATTTAATTATTCTGTTAATTTTTAAATTTCCAGTGTTGATAATTTAATTTTCACAATAATATATATTAATCTGTCTATGTATCTTATTAAAACTAATTATATATCAACGTTTTTAGTTTAAGATTAATACAGTTATTGTCAGAATTAAATTAACATACTTACTAAATATTGATTATAAAATATATTTAAAAAAATTGAAAGTACAAATTTTAATATGAATTGATTAGGTACAAAAATTTCATTTCATTCTGTTTTATTTGAGAAGTTACTAAATATAATTTTTATTAATTTTAAATTACACACTGAGATGGTTTAAAATTTTACTGTATTTTTTTATTCATAATAATTATTATTTTTTAGATGATTTCACCTAAAAAAAGAGTGTCGAACTTATGTTTTTCATAATTAATTCTAAAATTAAAAATAATATTTAATTTAAAATTTTAATTTATCACAATTTTATCTCTAAAAAAAATATAAATAAATTAATATATATATATATATATAAATTTTTCTTAACCGTATCTGCGACGTATCCTAATCATTTCTATTTCTACTTAGGAAAGTAGTGATTGAACTTTTATTGCGTCGTTTTCCGAATATAACATAGGATTTGGTGAATTATATTTAGTCATGCACAGTTCCAAGTTAAAGTGTTAATTAATAAGGGTCGACATTGATACCCTCATATCACTGCTCAAAACGCGCCACAATTTTTCTCTACTTTTCATCACTTCTATTTTATTTTTTTTCCTCCATCTCTTTTTATATAATCAAAGACCAGAATATTCCCAGCACCCTTCTTTTCTTTTATCCTTCAAACTTCAAGAAATTTTATCTATACATACAAATTGTTATTTTCCTCACTTTCAAAACCTATCACTTTAGATAAAAAAAAAACTATTTTTAAATTTATAATATTTATAAAATTTAAGATTATATTAATTATTTTTTATTAAGAATAAATTTTTAATTATATTTATTATACAAAGAAGATACGAATTATTAAAATTGATTTTGGACGAAAAAATAATATTAACATAAAAAGATTAATAATTTTATTAAAAAGAATAATTTAAAACTTGGAATATTTTAAATAAGAGAAATTGGTATATTTTAAGAAGAAAAGATGAATACAGGATGATGGCAGCACCAAGAAAGAACGTTAGAAATAATATATACGATAACTTGCTCTTTAATTCTGGTGTCACCCACACTGGGGTCACAATATGTTGCATGCCATTAAGAAAGGTCAACCATATTTTCAATTTCTCTCCACCCAACACAAAGTAAATTAAAGACCAAAAAATGAAGAAGAAAAACCATTGTTTTGGATACTATTTACCACCAATTAAATGGAACTATATAGCGTAAAGAAAACCTGAAGTAGTTGATTCAAACCTAAAGAAATTGAAGAGGAAGTTGATCTACAATGGATGTGGGCATAAAATAAATTGATGTGGCGTAGATAAGGTAAAGAAATGACACATGAAGAAGAAGGTTATAGCACAAGACATGAACGGATATTTATTGTTGAATCAGTGTACTTGGTCCCGTTTAGTTTCTGGGTTGTTGGTCGTTTAAGGGTCTTACGTGTGCAAACAGTAACATATGCCAGCCATGATGGGGCATCTCTTCACATGCTTCTGTCAAACATAATTTCATGTACATCCATCCACCCTTGTGCCTTCATCTCTAGTAATTCATAACCTCAATTTTGTTTCTTAATCCTTTCATCAAAGTGTTAATTTAACTCTATTAAAAATATAATTAAATTATAATACAGTTGAATTATAATTCATGAATGACGAAGATTTATTATTTGATGTATCTTTCTGTTTATGCAATGCAAAGCCACTAACTGTTGTGGCATGTGGCATGAAGAGCGCTAATTATCTTTAATGATTGATTAATGGGTCCATTATACAGTGTTTTTCATAAAGGTCATAAATTATCGAATTTTAAGTCTTATCCGGTCAATGATTGTGTATATAACTAATTATTAATTTAGTTATTTTTTTACTATAAAGTCAATATAAATCAGTGCAATGAATTTGACTCTTTCAAAAAATAATGTAATTATATATCTAGTCTTTTATTTAAATTGAAATTATTCATAAACATAATTAGTGTATTTTATTTTTGAAGCTAAAAAGTCTCTTATTTCCATGAATAAATAATACTTGCAAAAAATTATTTTATTATAAATCAGCAAGCTTGACGTAGATTTTTATTATAACTATTTTCAATATTAGATATTTTTTTTATCAATGATTATTGTTAAAAAAAAAAATTAACTGACACCTATAATAATATCCTATTTTTTATTCAGAAAGTTCAAATTTAAAATTTTACATAGTCTTGATCCTTTAATCAAGAATTTAAACACAAGTAAACCATGCTTACTAAAATCTATTTTTATATTAAAATAGCCGAAATCGTAATATTGTAATATAAATAAATACTGCTAATGATAATATAAAATATAATATTTAATTAGTTATTTATGATTACTTGCATTGAATAGAAAGACAAGTTAATTGGATTGGTTATGGTTGCTTGAATCGAACGGTTCATTGTTGGTCTAAACAGAATCGGACGGTTAAAATTTCTTGTGGATGGGTGCTGGGACAGCAGGTAACATGGGATTAACTAACGAAGCTACCTCTTCACATGGCATTCAATCCATCACGTGCTTCTCACGTGATCATCCCTGATAGACATGCCTGGCATTTGCAAGTGGCAATGCCTTCTCTTTCTCTCTCTTGTCTGAACTCAACTGTGTGAGTGACTGAGTTAATGAAATCAATGAAAAACGGGTTTCTTTCTTGTACCATTCTCTTCACTTCTCTCTATTTGCATTGAAGCTCTTTTGGTGAGTTTGGGAGCAACCTCCTTAATGTTCACTTTGGGATTATTCATTGCCTTGGTTGGTGACAAGCTGCAACTATGAAGGGCTTGCTCTCTCCCAGTTTCCTTCTTCAAATTACTCTCTTCCTCCGTGTTTTTCTTCTGGGTATGTTTAATTTATTGCAGATACATGCATGACCCTTTATTGCTAATTTGTTTCTTTAATGTTTTAATTGTCACTAAAATTTGCGTCTTGATAGTTGGGTCACTAAATTTTCTGTTAGACATGGTAGTGAATTTGCAATAAGCAATGGAGTTCTGCTTGCATCTCAAATAGAATAATGTGTATTGTTGATGTTGTGTACTTTGGGTACAAACCACAATGAAAAAGGGGAAGTTTGATACAATTTGATGAGACTGTTATTTTTAAGTGCATTGTAAAATGCCAATGAGCTATCAGAAACAGTAACCAAAGAGCTGAATATGTTGTCCAAGCTGACATGACATGATACGTAAATTTTCTGCATGTAGTTGATAAGATAATGCGATCTTAATGATGAATATGATTTTACTTATTTGAGGCTTTAGGCAATCTAGGAGTATTTCATTTTCTTGTAGAAATATGATTCCTTAAGCTGAAAATTGCTGATAATGTTGGCAGTTATGAACAAGTCTGAAGGCTCTCCAATCACTTCTAAGGTTGATGCGCTGCCTCCTGTTCTCCCTCCAACCACACAACCGCAGCCCTTTATTCCTCTTATAGCTCCTTCCCCATTGAGACCTTTCACAAATAATTCTGTGCCCAAGTTATCAGGTTTTGTTTGCTTTTCCTTTTATTGTGTGAGACCTTACATTATGATTTATTTGTTTGGTAAATTACACATACTGCTTACCCTTTGGCACATTATAGTTGTTGATTGTTGAAAGCATAGGTTTTAGCTATAAAGGAAGGAAGAGATAAAAGAGAATGAAACACTAAATTAATATTAACCAAGATGTGTGTTACAAATTATAATTTATTGATGAGATGCTTATAAAACTTAGACCACTAATTTTAATAATTCTGACCATAATCTTAACTAGTTCGGGAAATAGATCATGATAAGATAAGGAAATATGGTAACTAAACCTAAGAGATAATGAAAAATAGGGAAACTAATCCTAGAAATAAGCAAGATATTTTCTTATTCTAATGTATATTCTAACATTGGTGAATAGAGGGGAGCAGGGGCAGAGCCAAGAGTTTAATCTTAGGGAAGGGAGGCCAAGACTCAAATTAGGCATGGAGGATGTTGACTGCTGAAGGATACGGTGTGAAATTACAGTGCAGTAGTAGTGAAGGTGAAACGCTGATGAGTTCAGAGCTATGGTAAGTCTGAACAATATGGGTTTGTACCTGAAGGCGGGTACTATTTTCTCTGATTAAAAGGTGAAGTACAAATGTAATGAAGTGAAGATTCAGTGGCATTGGTGCTGTATATGGGTTCTTCTTGTAAGTAACATTGCGATGAATTTGTCCTCTTTAATGGTGTGCCTGGCAATGCTATGGTAATTGGCGAGTTCAATTTTTTGTGTTCACTTGTGATGAAGTTGTTGTGATGACGGAAGATCAGGCTGTTGTAAAGTCTTGAGTGAGGTGAGATGCAGTGCAAGAGTGACCACCGATTACATATCATAATTAATATCTGAGAAAAAAAGAATGTAAAAGTTTGGCCGAAGGGTTATATGCAATCCCCTCCCTCCTAATCAATTAGAAATAAAACTATTTTTCATATAGATATCCCTTCAACACAACATAGATCATCAAAAGGATCTCAAAGACTTACCAACCCATGAAATATTAGAGTTAGCTTGGTCTAATTTTACTGAAAAATTAGCTTTTATTGATTATATTGGAGATAATTTGGCAGAAGGGGGTTAATGGACAATGTAGATGGAAGAGCCATTGGTTGATTAGGAAACATATCTGGCAAATTAGAACAGCTAGTTTCTTATGGCAAAGTTATTTGTCAGAAATGTTTTCAGATCCTTCTTTTCTTTTGGTGGATTTGGTTTTGTGTATATTAAGGAGTAACTCTACAATACAATTAATTATTCATAGCTTCATTATCTGATATAAATCTATCACAATGAGTGGGACTAGAAATGGCATATTGCACACAAACAGTTAAATCACTTCATTTTTTTCTTGAACATGCTATTCATGTGCATTCTTAGTACCTGTTTAAAGTCTTTTGAATTACAAACCTTCTGGTATCGAGATGACCTAGATTCCTTTTTGCTTCCAGGCCTTTGTTCATTGAATTTCTCTGCTGCTCAAGATATAATGACCACAACTGCTACTGATTGCTGGACATCCTTTGCTCCATATTTGGCAAATGTTGTATGCTGTCCTCAATTTGATGCCATGCTGGTAACACTCATAGGGCAGTCTAGCAAATATTCTGGGGTGCTAGCATTGAACGAAACTCATGCTAGTCACTGCCTCTCTGATGTTCAGAAGGTCCTCGTCAGTCAAGGAGCAAATGAGAACCTAAAAAAAATATGTGCAGTCCATCCAACAAATCTCACTGAGGCCTCTTGTCCCGTTGTATTTGTAGATGAATTTGAGAGTATTGTAGACACTTCAAGACTTCTGACTGCTTGTAGAAAAATCGATCCCGTAAATGAGTGCTGTGATCAAGTTTGCCAAAATGCCATACATTATGCTGCTAGAAAAATTGCCTTGAATGATTTGTCTAATTCAGATGGAAACCATAGCATGTCTGGGCCGACAGCTAGGATCAATGATTGTAAGAATATTGTCCTACGTTGGCTGGCTAGTAAACTTGATGCACCCACTGCAAATAGTGTTTTTAGAGGACTATCAAACTGCAACCTAAACAAAGGTGAGCATGGAGGGGGGAAAACGTTCTCCCTTAATCACGTTTGATTATTACAGTTTTGGCTAATTTTTTGGAATATAAAGCATACATCTTACAATGTTCAATGTTGTTATATTACATCACTCAGTATGTCCATTGGTTTTTCCAAGTGTCTCAAGTGTTGTGAAAGAATGCGGGAATCTCATACACAACCAAACAGCTTGCTGCAAAGCCATCAAAAGTTACGTGTCCTATTTGCAAGAACAGAGTTTTGTAACCAATCTTCAAGCCTTGAAATGTGCTGCATCACTTGGAAAGAAGTTGCAGAATGCAAATGTCTCCAAAGACGTTTATAATCTTTGCCATATAAGCCTAAAGGACTTTTCTCTTCAAGGTAGGCATTGTCATATTTCTGTTGCTTAGGAAACTGTTATTTTGCCCTTTCTGCAGGTACTAGTACTGACACTTCTCTTGTTATGCTGATAACTATTGATGGATTTTTCCCTGGATCAATCAGTTGGATTGCAAGGTATGAATTTTTTACTGATAAATTGCTTTGCCAACATTTACATTTTTTCTTCCGTCACTCATAAAAATATGATGTTTTTTATTAAATTTAAATTTCACTCAAACAAATTTAACTTATTGTTATATGTTTATAAAATATATAACTAACTTAATTCAAGACTAATTATCAGTAATTCTAGCATAGTAAAACACTTCATTCTTGACAATAATTAAATGTCAACTAGGTGATCAGTTGAATAGTTATGAGATGACATTCATGAGAAAAATATATACTTGCTAACTTAACCAATACTTTTAAGTGATATGAAAGTGTAAATTATGGAGTTTATATATCGGATTCTTCTATTAATTGCAACTAATTTTCCTTGGTGTTGTAGTATCTAACATTAGTGAATCATTTTTATTTCATGTAGAATCTGGTTGCCTTTTGCCGAGTTTGCCTACAAATGCAGTATATGATGGAACTTCAGGGATTGGATTCATTTGTGACCTTAATGACAATATTGTAGCTCCATGGCCCACATCGTCGTATATGCTTTCATCCTCATGCAATAGAAGTATGTATAAGCTTTATCAAGAATTGCTAGCTGATTGTCCTCTTTCCCTGTATTATCTTCTATAAAAAATACATACTTACTCATAAATCCCACTTCTTTTAGGAATCTACAAATAATATCTCTTCTTAACCTATTATCATCCCTTTTCAAGATAAAATCGTGACAAATTAGAGTTTTAGAACATTTGAAAAGTTTGCACATAAAGCAATCAAAAGAGAAATCTTATCAAGCAACAAACTACATTGCAATAAATAAGACAAGACAGCAAAATTTAGGTGACCTAACTTTCTATGTCAATCTTCTTCACACTTATTTGAGCTACTATTACTAGCAAAGGAACAAAAGAAATGGACAAAAATTAACGTGTCATCAGCCTCAATAGTTATCCACCCATTGTCATACTCACAATGATATTTGCTGATAAGTTTCTCATGGTTATAACTTTGTCCTCTATTCTTATCCACTTGGTCCTGATTGTCATCTGCCTCAAGTGCAAAAGTTAACTTTTGCGATATTTGGTTTGCTAACAAAAATTAACTTCGTGGTTTGCTGTTAAGTTTCTCACACTTACAGAGAACTGGGCAAAATTGAACCTTGTGATATTTGCTTTGCTGTTAAGTTTCTCATGGTTACGATGAACTTGGTTTGATATTTGGTTCGCAGTAAAGTTTCTCATGAACTTTGTTTTTCCGGTAAATTACATGATTAAGAGTTTCAATTCATAATGTTTGTGGGAGGGAAAGAATGCTGTGGTCATATTGATGGAATCATAACTGCTGCTGCCCAAATTGCATTAGGACAAACGAAGGATGGCCAGATTATCTCTTGTGTATCAGCATCTATTTGCACTTAACCGGTTATCAATATTCATTCTTTTCTGTTGCCAGAGATATGTGGGACCAATTGAAGCATGTCCCATTATTATTATTCTTTACTTTTTTTCTCCATACTAGTTTCAACCATTAACATTGGGGAGCTATCAATTCAGGCCACCATCAACTTTAAAGCTGTCCCCTACTTGCTGAAATGCCTCATATATATGTCAATTAAAGTCCTAAATGAAAATTAGTGTAATTTCTTTATTTGTATAAACTAAAAAAGGAATTATAATGATATAAAATTATTAGGTGGATTCTATCTATCAAAAAGGAACCAATACTAATAATAACGCATCCTTGACTGATGATAAACTACCCCACCTTTATCACATCTTCCTGTCTACAACATTTTGGATTGTCCTTTGTAATATTCTTACCGTGAGCAAAGACATATTTTCACTCTTACCATGTCTAATTCATTTGTTCCTTTAATTAATGCAATTGCAGCTACAAAGTTTCCATCGCTTCCTACGGCAACATCCTCACAAAATGGTAAGTACATTGCTACTATACTGTTATGAACTGGTATTTCAGGTTTGATCTTCTCTATATTTTCAAAGCAGTGGTAGTTCTAAGATATAGGGTCAGTTTGTTTAAATTGTTTTTCCCTCAAAATCATTTCTTTTCACCACAAAATTGATTCTTACAACTTCAAAGTCTACCCAAGCAATCCAAGTGCTGTCAAAACCTTTTTTTCACGGATGAGTATGTGATTATGAGGTCTAAACAAACAAGTACATTTAAGGCTCCTCTTCTCTTCATTATCTATGATTTTAATCATTAAAGATCCAGATGTCTGATATAAAATCTGTGAAATCAGTTTGTATTTTAATTTAAGGTGATGCAGATGCTTTCCTGCTATTTGTGCAGAAAAATAAAACACATAAATAAGATAAAATGAACAGAATTATTTATATATCTTCTTAAAACTAGGAATTGAGTTTTCTTTTCAGCCAAATCATCTTGGGACTTCTGAAGGAAAGATTGAATATTAGATAATTTAGTTTAGTACTCTAGAAAAATGTCAACTTCATCCCTATGTATATCATGATGAGTATCTACTTTGAACTTCCATTTGTTGCAGGTCTTTTCATTAATACACTGGTTTTGCCTCTCCTCTTTACCTCTATACTACTTCCCAAGAGGCTTCTTTAACCTTGGAGTTCACTGTATCTAAGTTTTTTGGCTACAAGGATTTTTCAGATACGTTGGCTATTCTTGGAGGATCCAAGGAAGGACTAAGTCCTTATTCTTATCCAATCATCGAATATGTTTATATTGTCACTAGTGAATGAGCAGAGAAATCCTACTTTGAGATAGTCTTGCTGTAGATTCTTGATTGTATTCTATCATTACCATATCATTGTTTTAATATTCTTTGAAATTGTAATAAGTTTTGTTTCCATATTAAGAACAGTGAATATAAAAAAGATTATCTAAGTAATTTCGTTCTGCCATTTATTTGTCCCTATTCCACCTGATACTGATAATACTACACGAGTTGGATGCTTACAATAATGATTTGGTATTTATTTTTTGTCACACATGGGTGTCACGTCGGAGACTTAATTCCAAGAATTTGGAGCTGTGATTATGGGGTTGGGCCCTTTTGCACCCAAAACAGTGACAATGTGATTCCACAATCTTGTGTTTTCCGTAGTCCTGCGTTATGTCTATTGACCACACCTTTCAACCTTAGCAGCATATCTGCACTGAATCTTGTTTTGTTGGAAATTTCATGTCAACATATTTTATTATGTTATAACACAGGTGAATGTAAATCTAAATATCATTTTATAATAATTTTGTTATGTTGAATTATCACTTTTTAAGATAATATTAAAGTGTTTTAGTAGTATTAAGGTTAATATGTTTAAAATTTTCTTCTTACTTTTAACATATAATTCACCTTTGGTTCTACTCTAATTATGTTGTAAAGTATCTTTTTAAGTTTAAAAACGTTATATTAATTAATTCCATGAACATTATACTTTATATTGAGTAAAAAAAAAAAAAGTCGGGAATGACAACACATATTAGTATGGTCCATGTCACAGCTGTTTGTTTTTTAATCTATAACTTTCACCATTAAGACGTTGTTCTGTCCAAGTACTGATTGAATTTGTCTTATTCATCTTAATTTACTTCAAGCACACCTTAAGTGGAGGGATTTTTAGGTTTATTTATGACCAATTTAATGTAAGTTATCACTCTAGGACAAAAATGTATATACACTATTCCTTATATATGTGCATTTAAATGCACAGCAATAAATTAAACTATGTGTACTCAATTTTAGTTAACAGATCACACTAACATGTTTTAATGCAATAATCCTTTATTGGTTTATACTTAATGATTATTTGATAAAAAAGGAGGTGAAGGGAGGGAGTTAATTTTGTTTAATCATATATTAACTACTTTAAACTATGATTTTTTTTTATTTGTATTGAAAATACGTTTAAAAAAATAACTAAACAGCAATTATTATTACATAGGTTTAATTATTATTTGGTACTCCTTCCATTCTCCAAGAAAAATGAACTCACAATAAGGGAGAAAACTGATTAGTAGTGTTTAAATGTACTAAGTTTATTTTAAAATTTTTTTTTCTTAAACATCCTTCTTTAAAATTTAATATAAAAATTAAAATAAAATTATTAACAAAAAAATTAGAATATTTTAAAGACACTCTTATTTAATAAGATCAAATTAAATAAGTTTTGTTTAGGTTTAAGACTTCTTTTTTCTTATTTAGAAAGACAAAATAGAGTACATCTTTATATAACAAATCAAAATATCACAATTTTTTTTTCACTTATCATGAAATTTCCTACTTTCATCTAAGTTTGTTTATCAAGAAAATTATTTGTTAAGTCACCTTTCAATAAACTTAATTTTGATTTTTTTATTTTTGAAATCGATTTTTTTAAATTAACTTAAAATAATTATATAAATACAAATTCATAATTTTAAACTGTTAAAAAGAGTATTATTAAATATAATTTATTTACTAACATTCTCACTGATTGAAAATAATAATAAGTTTAGATGGAAAATACAAAATTGTAATATTTTTATACAATTAAAGATGAAATTATACCAATTTAAAATTAAGAGATCAAATTAAATAATTTAGTGACAATGAAATAAAATCACTTATAATAAAAGAAAAAAATAATAAAAAGAAAGAAAAAAATAAGTAAAGAAATTAAAAAAATAAAATTAATATAATGAATTAAAATATTATTTTATTAACTTAAAATAATTTTTTATTATTATAATTTATTATTTAATTATTTATTATTATAATAATTAAATATAAAAAATAATATTTTATAAAAAATAATACATAATCAATTATACAGTAAAACTTAATCGGTTATACCTTAAGTATTTTTCTCTTCTTACAATTGTATTTTTTTTCAACTCGATTTTTTTGTTTTTACCTTAAACTTTTATCTAAACAATCTGTAAGAGTAAAAAAAAGGTAAAAAAAAACATATATTTTATAATATAATTAATTATATTTTTTACAATATAATAAAAATATGGATAATTTATTATATAGAAATATAAGAAAGTATATTATAATTTAAACAATTTATTTTAATTAATTAAATTAATTTTATTTTTTATAATTCTTTTAGTTATTTTTCTTCACTTTAAAAAAAAAATCTTCTATCAAAATAATTTTATTTTTTATTCTCTTTTTCTTTTCATTTTTTTACTTTTTAATCTGCACAATAATTAAATTATACTCCCAATATTTTAAAATAGTAAAGAAAATGTTTCAAAATAACTAAAAAATAAAATATGTAAACAAAAATAATAATAAAATAAAAAATATTCTTATCTCTTTAAAATAAAAATAATATTAAAAAAATATTTTAAAAAAAGTAAATTAAAATTAAATATTTATTTAATTATATAATTATTAATTTATTTTTAATTAATAAAATAGTTTTTAAAATTAACGTTTTATTTTTTAATAATAATAATAATAATATAATAAAATTATTCTTTTAGAAAATATTTGAGTTTAAATTAATAAAATAATGTTATATTAAAAATAGATTAAATTATTTATTTGATTTTTATAATCATATGATACTCTATTAAAATAATAACTAAATATATATATATAATTTTAAATATTATAAATATAAAAATAATAATTATTTATTTGAGTAAATATAATTTTATAAATTATTATTTTATTTGGACCTTCCATCCTTGATATGTGAACGAAGAAGTAAATATATAAGTGAAAAAAAAAGTTACCATTTTTTTAGTGGTTACGAACTAGAAAAAAATATTTATTTGTCATTTTTTATTACTTTTTACTTTTTTTAAAATTAATAAAATTTTGAAGATAAATATTAATTTTTCTTATTTTTAATAAATTTATTAATATTTTTATTTTTACTATCTTAATATTTTCTTTCGATCTAAAATTATTTTTAATAATTTATTATTAAAAATAATAATATAATAGATAAAAAATAATTAATATAATCTTAAATTTTATAATAATATATATTTAAAAACTTTGTTTAAAATGTTATATATTTTTAAACAAATAAAATAGATAAAATAGATAATAATATAATAAATTTCACCATTTTTTTAATATTTAAATCTAATAAAATTTGATATATCATAAAAATTTTCAACCACTGAAATAGTTGGTAGATCAACTGTCTTGTTGTCATCTTCAATAACTTTGAATTTGTGCCACCTACGTTCTATCTCTCCCTTTATGGACATCTTTCTCCACCGAGTTTTCTTGGATGTTAATTGTAATTTCTGAGATTTCAATGACCTATTTATATACATATTATAAATTTAACTATAAATTCAATAATTAGTAAATATATTTATAAAATTTTGATCTTATTTAAATTTTTTATAAATATTAAATAAAAAGATATATTATTTCATTTCTCAATATTCACTCGGTTAACACATCTTGGAAAGTCTACGTCCTCCATGATTTATTAGCTGACAATTCAGACTACCACCAAGTCCAAACAACGTGTAAATATAATCGAAGTAATTATTATAAAATAATTTTGATTTAATTTGACGTAGACGTGAACAATTTTTGTTTTGCTTTGGAATTTTTCAGTGAAAAATGTATATTCTTCACTGTTTTAATGGCATGACTCGAACTCATTGACAGGGACAAACAAGTACACAAGTTGTGACGGAATCAATGACGCACTCTGCCTCCTCAGAACGCATAAACCAAAAATGTGTTTTTTTCTACCTACCAAGCATTACATTCTACACACAAAATTAAGGAGGAGAGTGTGCTTACAAACCCTCTATTTTCTTTTTCTTGCACTTCATTTTAATTCTTATTTTGCATTCTAATTTTTTAAAACATGTGAAATTTAAATGCACACTAAACTTTCTTTTTCTTTGGTTATGTTAAAAGTGAAAATTAAGATTTTTAAATTTTTTTAAGACTATTTTTTATTATGAAGGTTAATTATTTTTTAGTTTAGGGTTTAAATGTACTAAGTTTATTTTAAAAAAATATTTTTTCTTAAACATCCTTTTAGTTTAGGCTAATTATATTAATTTTATTTTTTTTAATTTCTTTACTTATTTTTTTTCTTTCTTTTTATTATTTTTTTCTTAATTCAAATAATTTTATTTTCTGTCAATTTTGTTTTTCTTAAATTCACTTTTTAATCAAAAAAAAAAGGTTTTAAATAAAAAAAAATGGTCTTTATTATATTATATATGATTGCATTTCTCTTTTTCCCATTTTTGGGAAGGTGAGGAGACAACGTGCCTAGGGTTGGTTGATAGACTGACCACCAACGCGGCATTAATGGACGTCAGGCAGTGTATGGTCTTCAGCTACCATCTGCATGCTCTGTCTGCACCCCTACTTACTTCTTACTCAATTATTTAATATATCTACCTAAATTATTTTTTTATAAAATTTATCAGATTTTTTTATATACAAATTTCACTTCTATTTTATATTTAGAAAAAAATATAAAAGTTAAAATTAAATTTAATTGATAAAAAAAATAAAAAATATTTTAAATATTTATTAATTAGGAGATTATTAATTTCTTTATTAAAAATATTTTTTTAATATAATAATAACCTTTTCATAATTATAAAGGTAATTGAAAGTAAAATCAATTAGTTATATGAACTAACTCATTATTGTCTGCATAACTTTACTTTTTAGTCTAGTTTTTGTTTAGATATACGATGAAAAATGATAAAAAATATATAAAATAATATTACCAAATTTAACAAAAAAATAATTTTTTTAGATATAACATAATTAAATTAATAGAAGTAAAAGAAAATTGTTAGATGTTTTTAATCTAATTTAATATTTCTTTTGTTAATTTAAATACATTAAAAAATTAATGTAGAATAATATATTTAAAATACATATTATGTAAAAATAATATTTTTAACATTTCATAATAAATTATAAATTATGTTTAATAGATTATAAATTATGTCTAATATATAATATGAATCACATCATCAGATTGGATTTTTCTGGTTATCTTTTCTGTTAATTTTAATTAAATAATAAATCTACATGTTTAAAAATGAGAAGAAAAATTTAGCACCTACCACTATGTCTCTATCTTAAAATATAAAATTCACATATAAATAAAAAATAAAAATAAGAATAATGATCCCACGAGACGAAAACGCTATCCTCGTACCTATCGATGTGAATTATTATTATTATTATTATTATTATTACGTTACCCTGATACTTCTAGTATTATTTTTTAAATTCTGTAGTATGTGTTTTATCTTTTAAAAATTGAAAGAAAGAGTGTAGTGTGTTTATATTTTTAATTATATTATTTTATTTTAATAAGTTAAGTTTTGTATTTTAAAAACAAAATATATTTATTATTATTTTAAAAATAGTTAATCATATAATATCATATATATTATTTTAAATGAAATAAATAATTATTAATTTATATTTTATTAAATAATCAATTATCTTTATTTGATAAACAAATTAAATAAATTTTTAAAGTAAAATAGATAAATAATTATTTTTTATTTAATAAAAAATAAAAAATAAAAAATAAAATGATGTTATACAAAAAAAAAATTATATAATGATATATATTTAAATGGCACATGAAGAATATATTAATCATGTAATTAAATGATGTCAAATCAAATAAAATCTCATGATTTGGTTCTCTATACATCACTAAGCATTAACACAACCAAGAGAACCTTTCTTTCAATAGATTGACACAACCAAATTAAATGAAAGAATTCAGAGCAGTCTTTGAAAGGGGACAATATATAATCCAATCCAACTTGAGCTTCAAAACACCTTTTTGTTGCTGAGCCTCAAAGCCACCTCTGCAGAGGAAAAAAAGAGGCTCACACAACCATTACCCAAACACAAACAAGTTAGTTCTAAAATGGATTCTCCGTCGGTGCAGAAGGAGGTTGATGAACCTTTGGTGGTATCAGACGAATCATTGCAACAAAGACCACCTTCTTTTATTCAATCTTTCAGCTCGAGACATGGATCACATGGTGAACTTGAGCGATTACTCGCAGACAGTAGCGTCCCTTACATAAAGCGTGTTGGACCCGCGACATGGTTGGAGTTTAAGCTCCTGTTTCACCTTGCTGCTCCTGCTGTCATCGTCTACCTCATCAACTATATCATGTCGATGTCCACGCAAATCTTCTGCGGCCACCTCGGAAACCTCGAACTTGCTGCTGCTTCCCTCGGAAACACTGGCATCCAAATCTTCGCTTATGGCCTCATGGTACGACTCACCCTCTTTCTCTCCTTCTCACCATGCTTAAATTCTGTGTATTGTAAACTCTAAAGACCTAATTTTGTAACAGTTGGGTATGGGAAGTGCCGTTGAGACGCTGTGCGGACAAGCATACGGAGCGAAGAAATTCCACATGTTAGGCATATACCTGCAACGATCCACGGTTCTACTCTCACTCACAGGCATTCTCTTAACCCTAATCTACGTCTTCTCAGAACCAATCCTCCTCATGCTAGGCGAGTCCCCGAGAATCTCGTCCGCAGCGGCGGTTTTCGTGTACGGGCTTATCCCTCAGATCTTCGCCTACGCCGTGAACTTCCCCATCCAGAAGTTCCTCCAGGCGCAGAGCATCGTGGCGCCGAGCGCGTACATTTCAAGCGCGACGCTGGTGCTCCACCTGGGGCTGAGTTGCTGGGCGGTGCAGAAGGTGGGGTTGGGTCTGCTGGGCGCGTCGCTGGTGCTGAGCTTCTCGTGGTGGGTGATCGTGTTGGGGCAATTCGCGTACATCGTGAAGAGTGAGAAGTGCAGGCAGACGTGGCGCGGGTTCACCTTCGAAGCGTTTACGGGTTTGCCGGAGTTTTTCAAACTCTCGGCGGCTTCGGCGGTGATGCTGTGTCTTGAGACGTGGTACTTCCAAATTCTGGTGCTGCTGGCGGGGTTGCTTCCTGAGCCCGAGTTGGCTCTTGATTCCCTTTCCATCTGGTTAGTCATTCATTCTCTTCGTCACTCTTTCAAATTCAAAATTAAATGTTACATAAACTTCTATTATTTCATCATGTTAATATATCTTAATATTAGATGTTTTATTAAAATAAATTTCTATTTTTTTCTTAATTCTAATTACTTTTTTTATTTTTTTAATGACGTGTTTCTTAGTTTAAGATCAAAGTGAAAATATTATTGATTTTTATAGCAATTGTTTTAAAATTTATATTTTAAAAATTTTAACTGTAAAAACTATACGAGGAAAACTAAATTCAGTTAAATTTGTGACGGAAACATGATACCTACCTCCAAAGAATAAAAAGGTGAGAAAACATTGAGTTTGGAGGAATTTTTCTATAAATATATTGAAAAAAGTTGAAATTAATTTTTAGAAATTTATTTGATATCGTTTCATATATATTTTTTAATTTATGTGTAATCTAATTTAAGCTGTAGACTTTATTTATTTTAAATTCTCAAACAGTGTTTATGTTCGAAAACTAAAACGGAAGGGATTTATTGAATAAAGAAGAAAAGCTGAGAAAATGTCTGGATTGTTTATTAGAATAATTTTCTTTGGACAGAAAGAATCTAGTGTCTAGATTGTGTATAGGAAGATGCTAGCCACACAAGAGAATAAAATAATAAATAATTATTACGTATTATTAATCTAAAAAAAGTTCAGGGATTAATAAAAGATTGTATTAAATATCAATTTTAAGATAGTCATTAAAATAATAAAAAATATTATACGTTAATTTATAACTAGATGACATGATAAAAGTATATTGTATAGATTCAGTGTATATTTAATTTTCTTGAAGCAATATAAGACAAAAATAAAACAAAATACAAGATAAATATGAAGAAAAAAAGTTGAGTTTGAATCCAATTCCAAATTGAAAACCAATAAGTCCAACTACAGTGTCACGCAACACTGTTTGGATCGTCAAAAAACAAAAATATTGATTGAAGAAACTGTGACCCGTATTTGTACTTTGTCGAATACCAATTTAATATTTCATAGGACAAACTCTCTTACTCAGATTGATAACAAATATGCGGTCTCTTTTCATTAATTCCCCCAATTCTTTTCATTGTTTTTTTCTTTTTTTTGACATCATCATGAAGGTTATTTTGAATATTACAAATAAATTATTAAACCATAAGTTATTTAAAGAAGAAGAAAATAAGAACTAAAATATCTTATTTTTTATAAATTAAAATTTACTTAAAAAATAATATATTAGTTTGCCTTCTAGCAATGTTTCAAGTTGCTTTACATCCAATCCTGAAAAAACCTTTATTTTTCTTATTTTGAAATAACATAGCATTATCCACTTTCCTCTCGATTCAGTTTATGATAATTGATGTTGTTCTGGTTTTTTCATTTTTAATTATTTTAAATGTAACTAAAACGGCATATAACAATCATGTTTAGCATCTCATTTACTAACTTAATTCAAATAAAAGCGAGAAAATGAAATTTGTGGCAAGGCATGGCTTTACGTTAAAAAGTAGAACGAGAGGTTGCGTTTCAAAACGAATCTAAGACTATTGGGGAATCAACCCATGGTTCTAATTGGAATTGTCCTTTTCCTTCTAGAGCTTACATCACGACAATAAGCCTACGTGGTTGTTTAGTCCTTACCATCACTCTTAAAAAATTAATAATCATCTTTCTTTCTTTCTTTAGATTATTTCTGTCCTTTCAACTGTTTTTAGGGGAAAAAGCTTCTTGAAAAATAATCATTGTGTTGGAAAATTACACTCGTTATTGGTTGTATTTACAAAATTATAAGTAGATTTGGAAATAGAAATAGTTCTTAGAAAATTGTTATAAATAGGATTACTTTTCTAAATAAGACTTGGTTGAACAAGTTCCAATTTATCTTATTAACTATTGTTTCTTATTGCAGTACCACACTGTCTGGATGGGTTTTCATGATCTCAGTTGGATTTAACGCAGCTGCAAGGTTTGATTCTCCTTCATTTATAACTGAATTTTTAAGTTATTTCTTTCATTTTCACTTTTTCCTTTTCATCTGTTTCAATTGTTTTTTTCTTTTGAGCATGGTAGAAAGTGATGCAGATTGAAATTTTCTAGAACATTAATTATAACTACAATACAAAGGGGAATAGTCATAATCCAAAAATATGTACGAGAGATAAAGACCCTTGAAACTATCTTGACCCGACTAATAATTGAAGACATAAAACGAAAACTTCTAAAGATGTTACTTAAAAATAGAACATTTTAATACAACAAAAAAAATCACTTCAATATTAAAGAATAAAAATATCCTCATATTTATTTCCAAATACTTTTTAAAAAAACATTTGCATTTACAATTTGAGTGTTCACGACAAGAAGATGAAGAATGATTTAGAGTAAAACAGAAACAGAAATGGACAGAGTTTGAATAGGGTTGTTTGTGTATGTTAATGCAGTGTGAGAGTGAGCAACGAGCTAGGAGCAAGAAATCCAAAATCAGCGTCATTTTCTGTGGTGGTGGTGACAGTGATATCATTCATAATATCGGTTGTTGCAGCGGCGGTGATTATGGCACTACGAGATGTGATTAGCTATGCTTTCACGGATGGTGCAGAGGTAGCTGCTGCTGTCTCAGATCTTTGTCCCCTTCTTGCCCTTTCCATTGTCCTCAACGGCATTCAGCCTGTTTTGTCTGGTATAACACTCCTTGCACCTTTAACCCATCATATCATTATATATATATATATATATATAAACATTAAATTCTCTGTTAGTAATGTTGGAAGATTCTGAAACTAATGAACGCATTATTTATGAAAAGGGGTGGCTGTTGGATGTGGATGGCAATCTTTTGTTGCCTACGTAAATGTTGGTTGTTACTATGGAGTTGGCATTCCATTGGGTTCGCTTCTCGGTTTCTACTTCAATTTTAATGCTAAGGTATGTTATATGTATTTATAAATATTTTAAATGATCTATAAAATTATTGTTTTGACATCAAATCTATCAAATAATTGAAATTTTATAAATAGATAAATATTTTAATTATTTAATTTTAAATTCTATATGAAAAAGTAAGATTTATATTTTATTTATGTTAATTATTTTTTATTCAATCAACATTACCCATTTAGATATATATGACTTAACCCGGACTTAATCTATGATTCACACCATTCCAATCTTATATTTTCCATTTTGTATCGTTTTAATTCAACATATATTAACTAGGTTTAATCTTTCTTAATTAGATTTGACTTAATTACCTAAAGTATATTTATTTGATCCACCTTGATTTAATCTATCTTAATTTAACTGATTTTGGTTTAACACAATTTATCTTAATTTGACTCCTAGTAACTTCACACATCTTATCATGGTCTAATCCAATTTATTTAATTTTGTTTTGTTCTATTTACTTATAATCAGACTTCACCTATTGATTCGTTTTTACCCAATTATTCTAACTTATGAGTCTAAACTAATTAGACCCAACATTTTCAATATAGTGAAATATATTTTGTTCAGATTTTATTTGATTTCAATCTTATTTAACTCGATCTAATATGTCATAATTTTATGAACAATCTAATATACCATAATTCATTTGAATTGTATTATATATATATATATAGTTGAATATAGTTCAAAATATATTAATAATAATTTTTATAATTTTATAATAATTGAAATATTTATAAAACAATCAAATTTTAATAAATTTACATTATTTTATCTAAATAAATTATTTAAAAAAATATAAATTATTTTAAATAAAAATAAATAATTTTAATATATTTAAATTTTTTAAAAACTATAAAATACTTTCTCCATACACACTGTTAATACATGTCCACTCTTGTGTGTATCTTGGTGCAGGGAATATGGTTGGGAATGCTTGGTGGCACCGTTTTGCAAACAGTAATCTTAATGTGGGTCACATTCCGAACTGATTGGAGTAAAGAGGTAAAAGCTACAAAAGTTTCTGTTCCGCTGTGTATAAATGTCAATAATTAATAAGTTAGTAATTGGTAATGAAAATTTTGTTGAGTTAGGTTGAGGAAGCAGAAAAGAGGTTGAACCAGTGGGAGGACATAAAGGAGCCACTCATCAAGAACTGAATAATACACATGGAGCTTTGGATTAGCATCTTTATGGAGGCAAAATTATTTATCACCAAGAGGGGTTCATACTGCCCTTATAATCCTCCACCATCATCTCAAGCAATTCCTCTTCCAAAATTCATTTTTTGCATTCTGTCTGGAAAGTGATGCAATACCAAGTTGGCTTGGAAAATTTGTAAGAAATATAAAACCCTACTAAATAAAAAAGAAGGAATCAACCTCACTGTACAAATTTTGGCCTACTTCTATGTCAACAAACTCTGATGTCTAAACTAAAAATATTAGTAACAAGAGGCTTTAATCTTTTCAAGTAAAATTTTGGATTCAATGTGAATGATTTTTTTTTTTTTATAAAAGAGAAAAACTTTACGATAAATGAAAAGTTTTTTTTTTTTTTTTTGAGAGGTATTAGTCAGATATTCTGTATGAATGACATGATATGTAATAACTAAAAAATATAGTTTGGAAAATAGACATGAATGCAGCAATATGGGCGCGACATCAAAGCCCAAGCCCAAGTAAGGGAATGTTTGGGGCCCAATATGTAAAGAGAGCAAAACTTTCAGAAAGTATCTTAATATTAAATGTAGTGGAATAAATAGTTGCAAAATTCTCAATTACTAATTTTTTTTGTAAGGTTAGAATTGTACAAAAAAAAAAAAAAAAAAGAATCTTCACTTCTGAAAGTTAAACCCACTTCTTATGTTAAAGAATTAGATTAATCCAAGTTACTACAACTATTTTACTAAATACTTCAATGCATGTTTTTTTTTTTCAAAGCATAATATCATTAAAATTTTATGTGGAAAAAAGTTTGCCTGTAATCAATTTTAGTATTTGGAAATTAAATCTAACCATGCACTTTACAGGTCCAAAATCTTGTTGACTCAATAATAAAAATGAAGACATTGTTATATAAAAAGTAGCATATATGTTGTGTATTTTTTGGCGTTCTTATTATTAATATAAGTAGTTAAAATTAGGGAACAATTATTTTAGAAATTTTTGAGAAAAGAAATTCAGGATAGAAGAACTTAAGGTTTGATACAAAATAATTTGATTTGAAAATTGAAAATTTAAACCTTCATGTAGAAGAAAATTTCAATATAAAAGAACTTAACACAAAGGAAAATTTTGAAGATATAATAAACCATTTGTAAATTTGAAAAAAAAAAGAAAAAATGAGAAAAAAATAACAGTAAAATAATATATTATGACAAAATAAATATAATAAAAAATGTTCAATTGATACAAAGTAAAATACTTATAATAAAAAAAGTTAGTTATCCAATTAACAATGACCAAATTATTAGTGGTTTGAGTAGGTTTTGAGACATCAATTACAGTTTCTGTGTTGCAAAATTGATATTTAGAGGAGTTAAAAACTTAGATTAATTTATCTCAATTTTATTTTAACTTCCTAAATAATATTTTGAAAACTAAGTTAATAAAGAGACACTTCTTATATTGTCTTTTTTTACCGCACTTTTCATAACGTTAGACTTGTTATTTTATTTTGAAATTACATTTATTTTCTTATTTCATATATTATTTATACACGTTGACGCTAATTTTTTTTAAGAACAAACTTGATTACATGTGATTGATATAAAATTAGTGCTGACAGCACGTTCAGAACCTGCACCAGTGGTTACCGGCGCTACACTGTTCATCTCTTTCTTCACACGTATTCATGGAAACTCAGAAAGAGAAAAACTAATGCACTTCGGTATATTTACTATCATGGCACTAATTATGACAGTAGTGAGTAAGATTTTGTTATGCACCGTGATACATAGAATTGTTTATCATAAATTTTTTTAAGAATAACAATAAATATTTTATTATAAATTTTATAGATAAATGGTTTAAAATTAAAGAAAGTTATTTAAAATTAAAAAAAATTAGTTATATAAATAATTCTAATTAATTATATAATTTAAGCTAATTAATTTATCTATTAAACTTGTAATAAAATTTTTATATTTATTTCTAATTTTTTTAAGATATTGTATACTCACAACATGCAAATTAAAACAAACATGCAATATAGTTCTTGTAATCCTGAACTCATGCACCTCCTTCCTTACACTCCCCATTATCTACACAACCTTGCAAATATGGTTGGGTCCCCATCCATCTAGTTGCTGAATTATATACCCTAGTACGTGGCTAAGAGTTTGAAAAATCAATTATAGAATCTATGGGCACAAGAAGATGTAACAAAAGCCACGCAAAATATCTAAGATTATAGCAAAATATCTAAATAAAATATGGAATGGCTCGAGTTCTGATTCAAGGACACTGATTCATATCTCTAAACTTCAAATGGAAACATATTCTCATAAATAAGGTGAGATTTCCATCTTTGAATTTTTTACTAAATTTAAAATTATATAAGATGAATTAGAGAATTTTAGACTTATATCCTACTATTATATGTCATGACAAATGTTCTTGCACCATTCTTCCAATCATATTTTATAACAAAGCAGACGATCAAGTTATGTAATTTTTTAGAGGCTTGAATGACCAATATAATAATGTCAAATCTCATGTGCTTCTCGTGAACGATATTCCTTTATTATAAAAAAATCTTTTCATTGTTCAATAAGAAAAATAAATTATTGAGAGTAATAAAGTGTATCTTGATCTCAAGATTGATAATATTCTATTAAATAACTCATGCAAATTTATGGATGTATTGTTCATATTGACAATGTATGTTATTGAAAACATGACTTCCTTAGCAATCAGAATGGTAGATACAGTTGAAACAAGAAAGTTGGCACTCATTATAGAAAAAATGACCACATTATTGATACCTGTTATAAGAAACATGGATTCTCACCTGAATATAGAGTACGCAGTGAGAAAAGCAGTGTGATTAACAATGCATGACATAGGATCTTTGATAATTGATTATGGTGCTACTCACCATATGTCTTACTTATTGTCAAACTTTATTTTTTAAGAACCTATCAAATACGTCAGTGTGAATCTTTCTAATGGCAATCACGTTTATATAACTCAAAGAAAATGTGAAAATTAATATAATTTTTATTTACATATGATTTAGTCATACCAGTTTTTTCCTATATTATAATTTCCATATCCAAGCTTATGTCTAACTGCAATTACAAACTATCTTTCTTCCAAAATTCGTGTGTTATACATGATGTCAGGATCAACAAGAAGATTGGTTCAATTGATGCAGAAGATGACCTTTACACCATTAAAGCATATATTCGTCAATCAAAATGTATAAATACTACTGATAAAAGTGGGAATATTGTGCAAGATTTTGATCTTTGGCATGTTACATTAGGGAATTTATCTCACACAAGACTTGATGTAATGAAACAACATTATTTATACATAAATATTAATATGGATCTTGTTTGTGATACGTGTCATATTGCTAAATAGAAAAAAATTTCATTTTCCATTAGTCATTCTTATGTTATTAAACCTTTCGATCTCATTCATATAGACATGGAAACCTTTTTCTAACATCTCAATGCATGAACATAAATGTTTTTTTATTTGTCGTGGATGATCACATTAGATATACATGGATTTTTCTTACAAAACTTAAGTTTGAAACACAAACTCCCATTATAAATTTTATTGTATATGTTGAATATCAATTTCAAAATAAGTGTAATAGGTCTAATAATGGATTTGAATTTAGCATGAATGATTACTTTAATCTTAAAGGAATATTATACATCAAACGACTTGTGTTGAAATACCCGAGCAGAATGAAATTGCAAAAAAGAAGCGTCGACACATTCTCAATGTCACTCGTGAGTTGTTTTTTCAGTCCAAATTAACACATCAGTTCTAGTGCATGTGATCAATTGCATTCCTACTCCCTATCGATACCATCTCTTTGTTTGAAAATCTGTATAATAAACATTATGATATCACTAATCTCAAGGTTTTTGGGTTCTTTATTATGTTAGTACCATCACCAACCATATAAAAAAACTAGATCCCCAAACTAGTCCTAGTATATTTCTGAGATTTAAGAATAACACAAAAGGGTATTTGGTCTTTAAACTTAGTACACATAATATAACTATTTAAAGGAATATGAGAAATGTTTTCCTTTTATTAATAAAATTGTGAATAATAATGTAGTTTCATTACCTCTTCAAAATAATAATGTATAGATGACCATAGTCATCCCTTTCCTTTTCCTTCCATTTTCACCGGATAGGATACTAAGAATAACAACACCTTACCCAATTCTAATCCAAGATGAACCACACACATTATGTAGTTGCCAACATATCTAAAAGATTACAATGTGATTCAAAGTTCTACGTGTTCAAAAGAATATAGGTAACAAACATCCCATTGAGACATTCATGAGATATAAAAAAAGTTTGTTTCCTTTTAAGTGGTTATACCGAGCATTAATACTAACAAGGAACCAAAATCCTATGAGGAAGCTTACAATTACACTCACCGGAGAAAATTCATGGTAGAAGAAATATTTGTTCTCTAGAACAATATCACATGAATTATTATTTTACTCCCTTAGAACAAAACTGTCATAGGATGCAAGTCGATTTATGAAATCAAGTCCAAACGACACAATAGATAGATACAAGGCTAGCATGTTGCTACGGATTACTCTCAATGTGAAAGGCTTAACTTTCTCGACACTTTCTTACCTATAACCAAATTAACAACTATTAGAGCACTCTTATCAGTAGTCACTATAAGTTGTTGACATTTAAAACAATTAAATGTTAATAATGCATTCTTGCACAAAGAATTACACAAAAATATTTATATGAGTATTCCCCCTAGCATGGTAGGTATTTTGCCAAACCAAGAATGCAAACTACATAAACATTATATGGTTTACGACAGGCTAATAGAAAATGCTATGAGAAACTCTTAAACTTTCTTCTTGCACATGGATACATCACTCTTTGAAAAACCATTCCTTGTTTTTGTATTGTAGGTAACAGTAAGATCGT